CGGATGATTAGTTTAATGAATGGAATGTTTCATGGCATCATATATGCAATTCTACATAACAGGCTTCCTTTTTCCTACAAAGTTTAGGATAATTCCCTTTGTTTACAAGCCTTAAGAGATACTTCACTGTAACTAACTCTGGTGTACTAACAATAAAACCAGGTTAATTCTTCAGGTCATGACAAGGTTACCAGCATCTTCTCTTTGAAGTGTGATTTGCCCTTCTTTTTTTTTTTTTCTCTCTGAAAGAACATTGAGTAATTTATTTAGTTGATGTTGTGATTTGCCCTTCTAAAATGTTTTAAAAGCATATGACTCTAAGACCATCTTTCTCTTAAGATACTCTCTTCAAGGAGCTACTTTTGACAGTACTTAGAACATACTTCATTTTAGCCTTTTTATGACCTAAATGAACATGGTTTTTGTTTAATAAATGAACTGCTTAAACTCAGAATAATTTTGAGCTATTATAGATAGTAAAAACCAACCAACATTATTTGGTCAAATATATTAATTAGATTATTGATGTGGTAAATTATATTTATGATAGTCTTTTAGATTATAGCTAAAAGAGGAAAAAGACCTAAACAAATTGGTAAAATATTCCTTTGGGAAGGTAAGCCTTCAGTTTCATTTGAAGCTGAGAGTTCATGCTGTATTTCAAGAAATGATCAGTCAATAAATGGAGGTAAAACTTCAAATATTCTGATAATTGTGGAAAGGAAGGAAAGTTTGCCTAAAGTATGTGAGTTTTCAAATTAATTTGCTTTAAGTATCTTCCAGGAGAATTGATTGTTCAAACTGTTATCTGAAATGGAGTCTTTCTTTTTGGAAAAATTACAGAGTAAGTTTACTTTTTATACTTTAGCATAGCATATTCCAAATATACTACTTTATTTAGTGTATCTCACAAAATAGTTAAATTAATACTTTACAGTCCATACGCTAATGCTTTTTTTTTATTGTTCTTACGTATCCTAGTTCTAAATATACTATAAATTGGTGAATAATTCTGTGTTCATCCTATCTGTGCCTTTGATTTTATACACTTTAGCTTTTTTAGTCCATACTAAAGAAACATTACTGTGTAGTCATCTTTAGCGACATTTTCTCTATGGAACTGATTACTGTGGGTGAGAGGTTCTCCAAATGTGGTTCCATCAAAATACAAACATGCTATATTATGATCCTGTCTTTAAAAAGTAACCTTTGCCCCCATATCTGTTTCCAGCTATCACCCCATTTCTCTGTTCAGTATACAGCAAAACTAATAAAATGTAGTTTTTACTTCTTGCAGCCTTTTTTTTATATATACACATAAAGAACTGCTTTTATTGAAAACAATACAACATGAATCATGTTCAGCATTAAAAATGTTTCCACTAATGGAACATTTGAAATTAACATTGCATTAGAGGGGAGGGATAAATCAGGAGCTTGGGATGAACATACACACACTACTCTATAAAGATAGATAACCAACAAGGACATATTGTACAGCGCAGAGAACTCAATATTCTGTGATAACCTATAAGAGAAAAGAATCTAAAAAAGAATGAATATATGTATGTGCATAACTGAATCACTTTGCTGTACAACTGAAACCAACACAACACTGTAAATCAACCATACACCAATAAAATTAAGATTAAAAAAAAAAACACTGCGTTAGAAAATTACAGAATATGGTCACCATGCCTATGAAAACTACAGTCAATTTGTCAACAAAACAGTTAAGCTTTGTTCACTGTTCTTCTCCCCCATATGTTTGTGGTTATTAAGACCATTTACGTTAAAAATGGATCAAGGTTTAGTGTCGGTTCTATAGATATGATGAGTATTTTATCCCAGGTTTCCTGGGACACCCCTGGTTGCAAATGACTGTATCCTGGTTTGGGGATGGGAGGATGTGGTCCACACTGTTGGCTTTGTGTGGTGAGGGTCTCCTGATCAAGGTGTGAAGGGGTTAGAATGGATCATTTGGATAACATCTGAGACAGCAACAGAACAAAAGGGTACAAGAACGAGAAAGCTGTTTGAGCGAAACTGGCGGCCCTTGAAGAAGCAGGCAAAGGTGTCAGGCAAGCATGAGGCCAGGATGTGTCTGGGCGAAACAACTTGAGGGTAGATCAGGCAACCGTCTTGGAAGAGGAAGTTGGTTTTCTTGACTCAGCAGCTTAGTCACCTTCCGGCATCATCAGTGTCAAATACTCTTTAGCCTTCAGGGCCTGGCCACGGGCTTCTGAGGTGGTTTCATCACCTTGGAAGGTGGGGATTTTAGAAGGGTGGGCCTACGGGTTCATTTGTGGGAGAAACCTTCATTCTTTCTTCACATGAATCCATTCAAGGGCTTCCTCTGTGCCTGGCAGCCTGTGAGAAACTGGGCAGGACCCAGAAATGGCCAAAACCCAAATCTTTGCCTTTGAGGAGTTTTCAGTCCAGTGTGGGGGACAGGCCAATAGAGTAGTAAATTATAATCCCACCGTATCAAGGATTCCTATCTAGATAGAACCAAACACTGAGGGTCATAGAGAGGAGAGAGCCACTAACCACGGGATAGCTGGTGTGACTCAGGCCGGCCATCGTGTAGTGGGCCTCACGCAGTCCTTTCTAAGTCCTTTTCCCCCTCAGTGGGTGAGTACAGGGAATAACAAGAATTGTTCCTCCTGGGGCTGTATAAGTGCTTCTGAGAAGCCCCCTTATCCTTCCAGGCTCCTGTTGATCCTTTTCCTATTTTCTTCCCTTTAAGGACCTGTCAGAGTCCAGGCAGGAAACAGAGTACACTCAGCTGCGGTGTTTAAAAGGCTTTTTAGTGAAGTGACTATTTACAGAGGTTTGGGTAGCTTCCCAGAAGTAGTAAGAGATGTTGTGCCCCCAGCAGCTGCCCACAAAGGGAAGCCTCTCGCCCACCTGCCCTGCAGAGACAGGGGAAGAGGTGGTGGTGGCGGCATCCAGGTGAAAGCCAGCATCCTGGGAGACGGGCTGCTGGACAGGAGCTGCTTGCCCACAGGGCACCATGCCAGGCATTGAGGAATTAAGGATCAACCAGTCAGACTTGGCCCTCACCTTTATGGAGCTTATGGTCAAAGCAGACTGTCCTGCAGGCCCCAGGGCTCTGGTGATTTCTGATCTCTCTCCCTCATTCCTTATTGGCCACGCCCTCTTCTTACCCCATGTGCTCTAGGGCCTAGGGGATACCAGCTGCAGGGCCAGGTGGTATACATATAGACATATATAAATATTTACATGCTAATAACATGCAAATAAAATATTTACATAAATAAAATTTATGTACCATAAATACATAAATGTTATACATATATGGACATAAGTATTTACATATAAATATGTACACATATTTTACATTTACATATTTACACATATGTATATTTATATGTCTCTTATACACACATGCATAACATAAACATATAAACATTTATGTTCTATAACATTTATATATAAATATGTATACATATTTATACATATGTCTTTTGGTCTGTTTTCCCCTACTAGAATTTATTAGAATCTAGTCTCCATGAAGGCAAGCTCTTAGTGCCTAGAATAGTCCCTGGACTTTGATAGGCACTGAATGACTACATAATTGCATTCCAGACAATATGCTTGATTCCAAGATACTCATCCTTCCTAAGAATTTTAGCAAGAACAACAAAACAAAAGGCCTAACCACCTGTCATAGTAAGGAACTTTAGGTTAACCTCTAGATTCTACATATTAAAAAGTTGACTTCACTTTCTACAAATCAAGCACCTACAGTGAAGGGGGAAAAGGGTTTGTATACTTTATGCAGAGAAAAATCTGGTAAACTCAAATTCTGTTGCATCATTTACCTGGAAATCTTGTGCAGTGCCTTGATTTTTGATGTTTTAGAGGAAGTGAACAAAACTAATTTTTTTTTTCTTTCTTGTGCCAAATATCATATTTTGGGATATTTGAAAGAATTTCATGAGGCTGCAGAGTTTGAGCTGTTTCCTCACATCAAGCCATTTTTGTAAATAGAAGATTCAACTTTTCTGGTCCCCTAATGACTCACAAGATTATTTTTTCTAATTGATGTTAATATCCTGAACCTGAAACCAACAGGGAAAAATAAGAACAGTGATTTTTTTTTTTTCCAGTAAAGGTACTCAGATCCAACTGAACAGGAGGTTTCAACAGATGGCAGCTGAAATAAATCTCTCTATATAGTGGAATTACAGAGTTTAAAGAATTGTGTAGCCCATAATCTACCACTGCTCATGCTCTATGTTAAAGATGTAGCAAAGTAATTACATTTGGGGAATTCCCTGGTGGTCCGGTGGTTAGGACTCCTCGCTTTCACGGCCTGGGTTCAGTTCCTGGCCGGGGAACTAAGATCCCTCAAGCTGCATGATGAGGCCAAAAAAAAAAAAAAAAAAAGTAATTGCACTTGTAAAAACGTGCAACATTGTCTCACATTTTCATTCTTGTATAAGTAAGGTTTCTTCTGCCTGGATGGACCTTTCCTTTGATTTGGCTTTACCTTCTCCAGAATGTTTCTTCTGATCTTGGTCTCAATTTAAGCAATTCTCTGTGTCTGAAAGACCTTTTACATAGTTTACATTACATAAATTATCATGTATTATTAATTTGCTACTCTTATTCCCCCCAAATATTGTTTATTGAAACAATAAAAGACACTTTTCTATTTCTGTGTTCCATTTTCATTGTATAGCACCTGCCATAAGTAGGTGTTCAATAAATATTTGCTAAATGAATGAATAACAAGTCCTCTCTTCCACCAGTTTAGCAGTGTGAACTAACGTTCCCCAGGTTCTAAGCTATTAGTTGAAATAACAGAAAAGTAGGAAATTACTCATCAGAATCTTCCTTAATTCAGTTTTCAAAATTACAGTTCCTGTGTTCCTTTGTCTTGATAAATATACTCAGTAGACAGTTGAGATCCTGAAAGCCTTTTGAAGCTTTTGGACTACATGAACTAAATAAAGCTAGGTATAATAAAATGCTTTCTACCTTTTATTCTATTTTGAACACATTTTTATTTAAGAAGTCACTGTCATTCAGTTATCAGTTGAAATGCTTTATTTCTTAAAGGTATTTTTAAAAAAATAATTCAAATCTTCTTATATTTCAAATTAGCTATCCTAGCCTTAGATTTAAAACTCATTTTTCCCAAGTATATTTTCTCTTTATTTAAGAGTAATATATTTTCATAGAGTGTGTTGAAAATTCGGAAAATCAAGGGTTCTTGTTCTGTCAGGTGCAGTGTTTAGAGTGTTATTTTGATAAAATCCAGTAGCTCTGATATTGCTTGAAAATACTTGGTCCTTTGGAGTATAATAGCAGGGGAAAAACTGTGGCATGGTTAAAAATTCACCATAATTACTTGAATTGGTTTTATACATAATCATTTTAGGTTTTGATAGTGAGGTAGCTGTATGGAGTGTCTTTGGGTCCAACATACATGAAAACACAGGATTGCCAGGGTTCACACAAGGAGGCAGTTGTTCAGGTTTCATTTCTGTTTCTGAATTTGAAGCTGAAGTAATTTTCTTATCCTAAAAGATAAATGCATAAAATAATTCTCAATTATAAAGTTCTGAAAAAAACAGAATTATTTAAACTTAGCCCTAAGCCTTTCTTACCCCACTACTCACAAAAAGTGACTCGAAAAAGATCAAAGACAAATGTAAGATCTGATACCGTAAAACTCCTAGAAGAAAACACAGGGAAAAAGCTCCTTGGAGTTGGTCTTGGTAATTTTTTGGATATGACAACAAAAGTACAAGCAATAAAAGCAAAAATCAATAAGTGTGACTACATCAAACAAAAAAGCTTCTGTGCAGCACAAGAACAGCAGAAGGAAGAGACAGCCTTGGAATGGGAGAAAATATTTGCAAACCATATATCAGATAAGGGGTTAATTTCCAAAATATCTTTAGAACTCATATAATTCAATAGCAAAAAACCAAACAATATAATTAAATAATGGGCAGAGGATCTGAACAGACATTTTTCCCGAAGAAGACATACAGATGGCCAACAGGTACATGAAAAGATGTTCAACATCCTTAATCATCAGAGAAATGCAAATCTAAACCACAATGAGATATCAATCCACACCTGAAGAATGGCTATTATAAAGTTAAGAGAGAATAAGAGTTGGCGAGGATGTGGAGAGAAGGGGACCCTCGTGCACTGTTGGTGGGAATGTAAATTGGTGCAGCCACTGTGGAAAACAGTATGGAGGTTCCTCAAAAAACTAAAAATACGGGACGTCCCTGGTGGCGCAGTGGTTAAGAATCCGTCTGCCACTGCAGGGGACGTGGGTTCGAGCCCTGGTCTGGGAAGATTGCACATGCCGCGGAGCAACGAAGCCCGTGCACCACAACTACTGAGCCTGAGCTCTAGAGCCTGCGAGCCACAACTACTGAACCCATGTGCCACAACTACTGAAGCGTGAGCACCTACAGCCTGTGCTCCACCACAAGAGAAGCCACCGCAAAGAGAAGCCTGCACACCACAACTAGAGAAAGCCCGCACACAGCAACGAAGACCCAACACAGCCAAAAATAAATAAAATAAATAAATTAAAAAACAACCAGAAAAACTAAAAATAGAACTATCATATGATCCAGGAATTGCACTTCTGGGTATATATCTGAAGGAAATGAAATCACATCTTGAAGAGATATCTGTACTCCCATGTTCACTGCAGCATTCACAATAGCTAAGACATGGAAACAACCTAAGTATTCATCAACAGATGAATGGATGAAATTTTGGTACATACACACACACACACACAACGAAATATTATCAGCCATAAAAAAGGAAGGGATCCTGCCATTTGCAGCAACATGGATGGACCTTGAGAGCATTATGCTAAGTAAAGTTAAGTCAGAGAAAGACAAATACAGTATGATCTCACATATATGTGGAATCTGAAAAAAAAAAAAAAAGTCAAACTCAGAGCAGAATGGTGGTTGCCAGGGGCTGGGGATGGGGGAAATAGATGTTGGTCAAAGGGTACAAACTTCCAGTTATAAGAAGAGTAAGTTCTAGGGATCTAACGTACAGTATGGTGACTACAGTTAACAATACTGTATTATATAATTGAAAGTTGCTAAAAGAGTAGATGTTCTCACCATACCCACACACAAAAATTTATAATTATGTGAGGTGATGGACATATTAACTAATCTTACTGTTAATCATTTCACAGTATATATGTATATGAAAGCATCATGTTGTACCTTAAACTTACACAATATTATATGTCAATTATACCTCAATAAAGCTGGAAAAACAATAGAGAAGAAAACAAAAACTTAGCCCCATCTACTTTCCTTTTGGGAGTCATTTTCTCTGGAGGACATTGAAGAGTACCCATTCAATTATATATATCTGTACAGAGCAAACTTGTCAAAAGTATGTACAAGGTAGCTTTTTAAAATCCTGTACTAGAACTATGAGAATTTATAAAAACGTGTAACTTATAGAGTAAGACTGCAATAGGTCATAGTTCGAAGAGGACGTACAGCTTAATTTCAGAGTGAAAAGGGAACAAGATAAACATTCAGGGATCTTAACCTTGTGGGGGATAGCCATTAAGCAAATAATTATACAACTGTCTAATTGTGGTAAGTGCTATGAAGAAAAAAAATTCAGGATATTTATGAAGACATATAGGGGGTTCTAACCTAGTGTGAGGGCCTAGGAAGGCCATTCTGGTGACGTGTCGCTGAATCTTAAGACTGGAAGGCAAGCAAAGGAACAGATAGAGGAGGGCACAAAGAAAAAGCATGGCCAAAGTGGAGTAAGTTAGAGTGAAAATGGCTGCAGATGAGAATAGAGGGGCAGGAGCCAGATCCTGAAGGGTCTGGTTGGCTATGTGAAAAGTTTAGATCTTTATGGTAAAAGCAATGGAAAGCTATTGAAGCGTTTTAAGGAGAAGCATGTCATGATGTAATATGCTTTTTAGTAAAATTACTTTGGCTGCCGTCAGAGACTTGAATGGATGTGGAGAGGAGCTTCAGTGTTCCATGTGACTGACAATGATGATTTATAGAAGAATGGTGGTATAGAGAGACTAGTAAATAAATTTGAGACACATTTTGGAAGTAGAATTCATTGGACCTGGTGATTGATTGGATGTGGATAGTGAGGAAGAGGGACAGATCAAGAAAGACTCCCACATTTCTGGACAAACATTTGGGTAGATGGTGGTGCCATTTACTACAATTTAATATGTAATTAACATATATAATAAATTTAATAAAGATTTAAAATATACATAACTTAGCTATTTGGGGAGGGAGGGAGCAAGATATTACAAAGAATGGGTACAAAAGTGCATATTGCTTTCTAGCAATGCATATAACATGCTTATCCTTAGTAAAGTCAAGTCTATAAAAAACATCAAGCTTCAATAATGAAGGTGAAAGAATTCAAATGGAACACACTATATGCACCTTGTTTATCACTCATTCAACAAATACTGAGTACCCACTGTGTACCAGGCATTGTTAGATGATGGAAAAATAGTGATCAACAATCTAAAGTTCCTAGAACTTACATTTTATTACCTAGAAGACAAGCACATAGGAAACCAGCTCAATAATGTTGGGAAACTGGTTATTTAAAAAAAATGTAGGTCTTCACCTTCAAATATTAGGTGTCACCAGTTCTGGGTTCTGATGTTGCCAGTGATAATAGCTGTGTGACTTTGATAAAATTATTTTGCAAGGATTCAAATTCCTTGTCTATAAATATAAAACAAAGGAGATGGATTAGTTTTTTTTCTTTTTCTAATCTGAGGTTATAAGGGCTCTCCAAATGTAGCAATAGGAAAGTGATTTTCAGTTATTTGAAAAACATGAAGGAAGTGTATATTTACTTGTGATAAGGCTCTTAAAAATGATTGTGGTGTCCATGTAGGCAAAAAATTTTGGTAGTTAAAAAACCCTCCAAATTTGGCAACTTCTGGAATACTTAAGATCTAAGTCCTTCCAGATCAGAAATTATATTATTATATCTAACCTCATAGAGATTGGCAGGGTTCTGTAACTCTGACTTTTTAAGGTTGCATTAAATAGAAGGTTGTTTATATGCATTAAAATTCTTTTGCTTTGAAGACTCTATAGTAGATGCTTGTGATTCATGAGGCTGAGACCCTTTAAGAATTCTAAATCCTTAAAACTAGCAAGCATATAATCTCAGTTTCTCCAACTCTAAAAATGGAGGAAAGAATATTGACCAAGTTGCTGGGTCACGCTTAAGTTAGGATCAAATCTGGGTCAGATTAGTTCGGTTCCTCTTAGACTAACTCAGCTCCCTCTGAATTCTTGGGTTATTCTACTTAATGTCTCTGCAAAGTTAAGTTCCCCACTGTCAGGAACCTATTTGTTTTGAAATCTTGAGTTCAAACCTGCAAATGTGAAGTATTTACTCCACTTTCTTTTCTTTTGTTCAGATTTGAAGAAGTATAATAGGGTGTTGGAGGAGTAGCACAGGCAAGAACTTTGTGGCCTAGATTCCAATCCTTTATCATCACTGCACCTTTGTTTTTATATTGTCTGTAAAACTGGGAAAAAAGGGGGAAAAAAAAAACAACCTGCCATAGTTCCTGTGGTTGTGGAAATGAAACAAAATCGGATGTAAATGATACGCTGCTATATAAATGGAACCAATTTTTAACATTTTCTTTTTTGCAGGTATACTTCAATGCATATGCATGATCTTCCAGAATTCAGTTCTGAAATTTACAGGTTAAGAAAACTTTACAGTAGTGTGCTACCATTTACTAACATTCATTATCTTGTAGGAAGCTGGCAAAGCTGGAAGTAGAACTCATCAGTTCTTGCTGTTTATTCTTTTTTGACACTGCTTATTGTTTTAAATATCAAGAGCACAGACATTGGAGAATAGTTAAGTCACCAGAATCCTACGGTATCACAACAGGTCAGCTTTTCTCAAAATGTCTAGGTTCTCTCAGCACATGGAAGGCTTCTTAGGTGGAAGGTGCTGCCCTGTGACTTGTGAGAAAAAGTACCAACCCTAATTTACTTTATGGACACCAGTCAGGTTGTCCAGGGCAACCTCAGTCCCAGAGGTTGTGACTTTCAAATCACCTTCTGCAACTGGCTCTAAAATTCTGATCAACTTTGAATCAAAATGGAATACAGAAAACAGAATCTAGTGAAAATAGAAGACAGATTTTGTTGGCATAATCCGTACCACACAATCTGTAAAAGTTAGTGTCTACCGAAATCTTTTAGACCTCCAGGACAATTCACAAATGTTTACGGACTTGGAAACAAAATACCCCTTGCTTTTACTTTATATCCTAGGCCCTCACTGCAACTTTCTTATTTGGGTTTCGACCTCTTCAAATCTGGTATTCTTAAAATGTAGAGTTCAAAACAGATACAATCAAAAACAAAACAGCCTAATATAAAGAATAATAAAAAGATTACTTTAAATTCTCTGCTAGGTTATACATTGGGTCAGCAACTGTTACTGAAGGAGAAGAAGGTTAATGAAAATTATAAATGAATCTTTTAAAATCGATTAAGTCTAAAATTAGACTGTGCAAGTGCCTTGAAAATCTACAAATAGATGGTATTAGCTTCCTTACTAATTTAATTTTCAGGCTCTCCTAGAATTAGAGAAAACCAGGCCACTTTGACTTTTCCAAGTCTTTTGTTATAAACACACACACATTTTTATAAAGATAAGTAACAAGCTACTGAAATAATAAAAATGCCCATTATAGAAGCTGTAATTATAAAATTAAAAAAAAATTTTTTTTTTTGGTTTTGTGTCACAGTTGATGTTAACTACAGTAACAACAAAAGCAAAAAAAACCCTGTAAGTCTAATTTTGAGGCACCCTTTTGTTTCCCCTCAGGCCCACCATCCTCCTTGTTCATGTTTTTCTTAATTTATCTTTTTCTGGCCACAATTAGGTGACAGAGAATTAAACCTTAACTTTCTACTGTTTCCATCAACAGTGAGTATAAATGCACCATATACTTTTTTCCCCTCATATCCTTTTTTGAACAAGACACAATGTAAACAGATGTCAAATTAACAAGGTACGTTTTTCTTGTTCAAAACCATCACGGCATTTTGCAATGGGGCATGAGTTGCATACCATCCCCAATCATCTTTATACCTTCAGAGGCAATTCTGGCTTAATGCAATGCATGTTACATCTGTGTAGCCCAGCGGTTGCCTACAACGGTGGGTTTTTTTTGGAGGGTGGGGGTGGGTGGGAGTGTGGGGTGCCCAAGTTTATAGTAAAGAGTACCGACAGTCAAAAACATCCAGCCCTCTGCCCAAACCCACCCAGTCGCCCTCGGTCATTCTCGATATCTTCTTTATTTTTTTCGGCAAACGCAGTCTTTTCCTGCAGCGGATGGCAAGGCCAGCAAGCGCCGACTTTTACTACACCCAATTAAAGCAGCAAAGAGAAGGCGAACCGTCGGCTGGATGGATACGTGTAAACTAATCGGCCTAATCCCGGGAGCCGTCCTCCAGGGTGGAATCCTTCGGAGAGGCTGTAGCAGGCCGTCTCCACAGTAACCGGCCGCGGCGCCTCTGCAGTGCCGGGGCCCGGATGTTGTGAGGATCACGGCCGCGGGGCCCAGCTTCCGGCAGCCTGCCGGCGGCGGACTGCGCTCCTCTTCGGGAGTCGTAGTTCTTCCCTCCGCCGCCGCCCGGTATAAGGCGCGGGCGGGACTACGAGTCCCGGCATGCGCCGCGGCGCCCCGCCGCCCTCCGCCTTTCGGCTGCGGTCGCCTGCGAGCAGGTTGTTGTTTTTATGAGAGGCGTCACTGCTCTCGGAGCTGTGACCGTCGCCGCCGCGACAGCTAACGCCGTCGGGCGGAGGTGGCGCTGCTCCTTCAGGTACGGCCCTGGGCGAGTTTGGACCCCAGGAGGGGAGTCCCGGCCGACTGTCGGGGTCCTGGCTTAGCCGCCTGGTGGAGGCGGTCGCGGGGTTTCCGCTGAAGGAGGGCTTGACCCTAGGCGCTCGGTGTTTGCGGCCGCCTGGGTGGCCAACTCGGAAGGCGAGTCTGCATCCCCCGTGGCGGAGCCGGTCCGGTGGTCCTGCAGCCTCGGTTCCCTGCGTTGCAGACGCGAGCGGTGTGCCGGGAGTGTGGGGGAGCCGCCAGCCCAGGGGACGCACCCGCCTTTCTCCGCTGGGCTGGCTTAAGGCTCTCCTCGGTCCTGATTGATGAGAATCCATATGGTAAGATGTTATGTGCGTCACTCCGCTGGGTTTTCAGCCGGCCGGTCTTTTTTGGTGACGTTTGAGCCCCGTGATGACAGGAAGAGAAAGATTAAATAATGTGTTTGAGATTTCTGCTTGTGAGCCTGGCTGATAATGATCAAATCTCCCTGTCTATCCTGTTCCGCCTCCACCGGTCCCCTTCCTAATCGATAAGCCCTCGTAGCAGCAGGTCACACCGTGCCTTGTACGCGTTACTGTTTATTTAACGAATCAACTTTTTGCCTTTGGGAGCGCCAATTTTAACGAACTCAGCCAATTAGGTACTTTGTTGAGTGGGTGAAATTTGCACTCAGTCTGGCTTTATTAAAAAATGGAATGGAGCCTTCTTGTAGCTAGAATAGGTAATTATTTTAGTACTGCGAATTTTAGGAGATTTGCCTCCTCAAATAAGGTCACATCTACTGGACGGTACTTGAAATGTCATTATTAGCGCATCGTATCTTTGGCTTAACGTTTGAATCTTATTAGGCCCCACCTTTCTCAAGGGGGGGTATTTATCACACCTTGGACGCTAGTGTGAATGGTTTACTATACTTCCCTGAGCTATGGTCATAAAGGGGAAGGGAAGGGAGAAAGTGAGGGTATTATTTTAATAAATAATTTTTAATCCTTTACCCAACCTAAGGATTAAAGAAGCTATTAAAAATCGCTCTCAAATAATATTTGAGGGTGTGGGAAATACTAGTTTTTAAATGAAAGTAGGTTAGAAAGTAGTGTAATACTAATTTTGTTAACTAAACCATAGGACTAGAAGTGATTCAATGTCTATTAGAAACAAGACTCAAAGGAGTGTAATAGTTATAAAGTGATTAGATGCTGAAACTACAAATTATTTTTTTCTTTATACTTTCTGGTATTTTCCAAATTTTCTATAGGAAAAAACCTTAATTTAAAGAAAAGGACACAGGTGCAGCAATTCCAGTTATACAGACTCTTTAAACATTAATTTTAAAAAGCAAATAACAACTAAAAACAACATAGGCAGAGCCCCTGTTACTGCATCCACGGACTCTGTGAATAACAAGTTTAAATGTATGTAAGTTAGTTGTTGAGAAGTGACAAGAAATGCGTTGGTTGGACTGGAAAGGAAACAAAAAAATATGACAGTAATTCTTAGCATTTGTACATCTCGTCTTATTTTGATCTGTTTTCATTTTGTACAGTAAAATCAAGACAAGATTGCTTACTTTTCTTCAATTAAGGGAGTGCAATCTTGATTATTACTGTAACTCAAGGTGACAAAGCATGGGCATATTAATCTGAAAAGATCTGGGATGTAGCAGGATTTTTCATTTATTATTTGTAAACATTTGCCAGTGGAAATAAAGAAGTTAAACATTATTATAAAATGGGGGCTTTAAGCTTGTTTTCATCAAGTCATTTCAAGTATCAATACTATGTTTTATATGCCTGATATTTTGGATTATGTTTTTGTTTCATTTTCTATTATGGATATGTTGGATATGGTTGGGTAAGTAGCATATTTAGCCCACATTTTGTTTTCTGTCATAAAGAAAGGGCCACATTGTTCTTTGATAGGAATAGTCCATGTATTTTTGCAGTTACCAGTCTTGAGAAAATGGGATTTACCTCAATTCCAAGTGTCCATTAACTCAATAGAATAGCCATTCTGAAGCTTTGTTTTTATTTTTTTGCTTTTTTGTTTTTTAAGCTGTAGAAGTCATACTTTGTTTTCTTAGGTTCTTTTCTTTGGAGCATTGCTTCTCTCCCCAGATTTCAGTTTCTTTTCAATATTTTCTATTGTTTTATTTTGTGTATTTTGTGCCCTTTGTTGGCTCAATATCTCACTAAAAATTTGGATTCATTTACAGGGCATAAGAAACATTCATAATTACTTAACATGTTTGATTTACTAACTGGTTCCACAGTATTGTGTAGGTTGTGTAATTGTATTTTATCTAAGTTAAATATTTAAAAAATTAGGTGAGTTTGAACTGAGAGCTTAGAAGTAGTAGTTTCTGACATGTAAAGAATATGGACACAGTGCAAGGCCTGTTAAGCCCAGGGTATTTTAAAACAGAAAATGCAGACTCATCTAACAATGCAGAACTACTAGAGGCTGAATTGCTTTTGTGTTTGAGTGGTTAAGATGAGGAAGTTGCCATATTGTAGGCGATAACTTACATTTTCAAGAATTTTCTTCCTGGGAGTTGTGCAGTTTTTGTTTTGTTTTTAAATTTATTTGTAAAAATTTGTTAAACAGTTTTTAAAGGTTACTTTCCATTTACAATTATTACAAAATATTGGCTCTGTTTTCCATGTTGTACGATACATTCTCGAGCCTATCTTACACCCAGTAGTTTGTACCTCCCACTCCCCTACCCTGTATCGCCCCCCCCAACCACTAGTTTGTTCTCTATATCTGTAAGTCTGCTTCTTTTTTTGTTATATTCACTAGTTTGTTGTATTGTTTATGTTCCACATATAAGTGATGTCTTACCATGTTTGTCTGTCTGGCAGTTCTGCAGTTTTGACTAAATTAAAACAGTTAAAAAAAATGAGTTGGTTTAAAAGGTCATGTTCGATGTATTGCACTAGATAAACTTGAAAATAAAAATCTCAGTTTGAGTTCTAAGGTGAAATTTAACTCTGTAATATGGGGAGGATTGCAACTAACTGATAGATTGAGAGGATTTTTTTCCAAGGGGTGTTTAAGGTGTGGAAACCTGCTTAAGGGCTTATAGAGTTTTCTGGAGGAAGTATTAGCAAGGAAGTATTAGTATTAGCAGTAAGTCAGAAATCTAATTTTTCTTCAGTATTTGTCCATAAAGCAGTTTCCTAAAACCTTATTTCTGGTTCATGTTGCCAGCATGATGAAATGTGAAAAAAGAATTGGATTGGGAGTCAGGACGTTTAATGATGTTGACAAATAATTTAACTTATGAGCTTCTATTTTTTCCATTTGTACATAATAAGTAACAGCCATTACCATACTTCATGGGGTATGTGTGAAGATCAAATCAGATATAAAAAGTCGTATCACTTTGTAAGTGGCAGAGTGATCTACCCATGCAAAGTATTATTGGCCTGCGTAAGTAACATTTACATAAAGCATATTATACATTTGAAGTGTGATGACTTAATGTGATATATATACTTTTGGACTGAGAAGTTTGATGGAAAAAAGTCATATGGGATCTTCATTTGATTTTTTTGATAGTGCTTTTTGCCTTTTACTAGGTTGAAGGGAACCTGGCCCCTTTCCTGACTGTGACTTTGTACTCTACTGCATTAAAGGTTTGGAAATTGCAGTGTGCTTTTATGGTTCAGCCTTTAATTTTGGTTTTGATTTGTTTTAATTGCACATCTAAAGTATAAAGAAAATCTTCAGTGTAACTTAACAGTAGGAAGTGGATGTTGTTTTTAATGTTCTAAAACAGTTCTTTAAGTTGATTTCATGAACAGTGAGTCTACACAGAATGTCAAATTCCAGGTCCTCCCGGAGATGCATTACATGTGTAAGCATTTGTCTTTCAGGGAAAGAGATAGTTTAGAGCTTAGACACTCCTTCTGGGGAAGTCAACCCTATCTGTATTACATACGACATCTGCCCCTTGAGATTAACTTCAAGTTGGGTTGACATATAGAACATTCAAGTAAAAAAGTCTTTTAGAAACTTACAAATCAATTCTGCGGACTTTATGAGAGCAAATATAAGCGAAAGTGAAAGGCAAAGAAACATATAATATATCATGGGTTGGTAATGACTGCTTCTATATTTGATTAGTTGATAACTCAAATAACATCTTTACTAACATTTTATCTAATATTACTACTAGAAAGTAACAATGGGTGTGTACTTGTCTATTATGTACTTAAAAAAATGGAAAACAGAATAAAAATATATAAAATCCCTTTGTTTTCCATCTCTCTGGCTTTTTTCCCAAATGAAAAGTAGAAGAGAGTTGTAAAAAAAAAAAAATTAGGACAGATTATCCTTTTGTGGAAAGTATGTTTAAGATAAACAAAAAATATAGATATATGATGAATACGTATATTTTAACAAGTAAAATCATTAAAAAAATGTTTTGAGAGTAGAAAAAACAACATCAAGCTAGATCCCATTAGTTTTACTTTATCTCTGAAAGGGGAAGAGGAGCCAACAGGGCCTGGCAGTGCCCAAGTGAGGGTCGTATGGCGCCTAGTCAAGCTTCTAGATTTACTACTGGCTCTTTCAGGCTTTTCCAAAATTAAGATGTAACAATCCTGGAAAGTCAGGATTCTTTTCAGAATGGGAACACCTGGTGAAAAGGTATTTCCATACTAACAGTTATCTTAATTTCCCCCCAGCATTTTGAATTCATATGGTTTAC